ATTTGCGTTCATCTGACATTTTTGGGGCTCTGGAGTCACCGCCTGAAGTATTGATATATAATTAAGCATCACTCTGTACATCTTACAAAAAACAACTGACTCTCATTACCCCTTTTTAGGATGAGCACATTAGTTCAATGACATTGTATAGCAAGGTAAAGGGTTACTTATAAATGCCATTTGCACACCCGCTGTAATTCGCAATATTACAAGTACTCGTAATTAAGTGCAATGTTCTTTGAGTCTCTTACACGCTTTAAGTAAGCTTTATAAAAGTGCTTTCACTCGCACATTGTTACAGGTATAATAAAACGTTTGTGTAAGATATTATAAAGTGGTAGTAGAGTATAATTTTGCAGCACAGTCATCTGGGATCTGTATATTATCTTTTCATGCTTTGTCTATTAGATGTGTGATCATATGAGAAATTATCTTCATAAATATATAATGGAAAATATTTTTGCATATTTTTAATGATTGCTGAATATTATACATAGATTCGATAATCTGACAATGTATTATGTGTTATCAGTTGTTTTGATATAAAACAATGTATTGATTGTTCGTTATTGTGTAATATATAATTATATGCAGGCGACTTTCTTATGCTATCGCGTTAATCTTTTGAAAACTTAATAATAAAGCATCATGTTGCTATTTTTTAACTTTCAGTATTAAATCCTAATTTGGCGTTATTGTTTTCTTTATAATTAAAATTTATTCTTTGAATTAATACAACTTCAATTATTTTATTTATTAGAATTTGAAGGAGAAATTGCGATAGCTCCAGAGCACTCTGTATATATGATTAGTTATTGTATAACACGTACATATATGCACAATTGCTACATATCCTAAGCAAATTCACGTAGTCAGTCGAAATTGAGATATTTGAAAGTAATTACAAATAGAGGGATTTAATTGAGAAGCAGCGAAATAAGTGAATTCTGTAATGTTGAGTAATATTTAATGTCGTAGTAATCTTTTTTCTCTATCTACAAAATATGAAACATGCTGTGGCTATTGATTTCATATTCATGAAATTGTCACTTATGTATTTGCTTCTAATCTCTTCAATTTCTTTGTTTACATTTTTCAATATACTATTAACCATTTTTTAAATTCAGGTCATATTCAGTCAAAGTTCAGACTTGATGGAAAGACAATCATCCATGGCTTCTTCAACGGAGGAGGTTTCTGGTGCGAATAATGATTTGAGTGGAGGCTCTAGACGGGATGACGAACAGTTCGGCGTATTTAAGGACTTTGATTTCCTTGAATATGAAAGCGAAAGCGTTGAGGTAAGTTACAATTCATTACGCTTTCATTACTTCTGAATGCAGAATATTGATTTCAATTTTTCTCGTTAAACTTTACAGGGTGAGAGTACCGATAACTTTAATTGGGGAGTTCGACGTCGTCCTCTTAGCGAGGGAGAGGAACGAGAACCCAGTTTGCGACAGTTCGAGGAAAGTTTGAGCGAGAAGACGCCGTCATCCAGCAAACATACAACACGGGTAAATATGTATAAAAAAATTGTTTAACTATTTTTATTATATATAATTTAAGATCTTTATATACTTTTTACCTTTTTAAAAATAATTTGTTTATATTAATAAAATTCCGAATGTACGTAGCGTGGTGTCACCGAAGAATCATCAGACGACGAGGCAGGATCAGAATCACCCTTAGACGAGGTACCAGGAGGGTCTGGAACAGGACAAGAAGCAAACAGCATCCCAGGAATGTTCCCACCGTCTTCTCTCTCGTTGATACCTAGTCGCACACGTCACGATTCATCTACAAGGTCTGATACATCGTAAGTTTCTATATGGAGACCTTTGGAAACGCGTATATTAATTGTTTTGTTTGAATTCTTCATCTATAGCGGCTCAAGTGCGGGAGATCTCGGCGATGTTACGCCTTGCAACGCGTCACCGAACTTGTCCGCGTTGATGCCCTTCCGACAGGTCGTACGAGACGACGCCGAAGAGATCTGGAGGCAGCAAATTCAAAGTCTCATCACTCAAGCTCCGTACAATACTTTAAGCTTCTTCCAATTGTTGAGCAAGATCTTGAGAGTAAGCTCCAAAATTGTAAAATAATTTATTGTATTAAAATAAAAATAATACTGCTAAAAAATAAATAATAGATTATTACTTTTTTTCTAAGGAAAATTATTTAAAAAGTTGATATGTTTCAGGATGTGAGCAGTAAATCTGTCGGTCTTACGCGCGAGGCAAGTGCTTTGTTTTCTAACGGCAGCTCGACTTCAGCTCACTTAGGTTGTCATTTATCTGGTCATGCTGAGTTACTTAGTTCAAAAGCTGAGCCGCCTCTAGTATGGTTTTCTGTGACGATATTCGCGAATCAGAGGCTAAACGAGACGCTACGCTTTGGAATGCTGGAAGTTCAAGAACATCTCGAAACATTTTTGGATAGGAAGGATCACGCTACAGAAGTAAGTTTTGTTAAAATACTTGATAACTATTTGACAGATAATCATGATATTCGTTTTCCTTTCAGTGTTTGGAGGCAGGTAAAGCAACCGCTAAGCTTCAGGCTTTAGGCGGTAGTCATACCTCGGAAACAGGCATCGAAGAGATGTTGTTAGATCTAGGTAGAGCGCTCTATAAACTACACTTTCAGCTACTTCTGCTGATCGAAGCATCGAACAAAATGTTAGGGGCGCTAATGAATGCCGCTAGAAACGTACAGATTCCTTTACAAGATCTATCAATTGAGATCGCTAATATGAAAATAGCATTAAGTAGAGCACTTGAAGAAAGCACCGAAAGCGAACGAGGAACGCCTACTCCAACACCTAGTCCTAGTCCTTTACCGGGCTCTGGAGCCGTGGAAGAAGTCGCGAGAGTTGCCGAACTTTTGAGAAATGCACGGTGGTGTCCGGCGCTCGAAGCTGTAAGACTGCACAGAGCACAATGGCCCGGAGATGCTTTTCACGATGACGATGACGTAACAACGGCCGTTAATATGTACTGCAAATATATAGGTCAAGATAGATCAGGTGAGTTTAATAGACGCTGCATTAAATACTCAATATTTTAACGGCAGTTATATAAATACGACATATTTTTTATTTAAAAAAAAAAAAGATAAAAATGAGAAAAATATTTTAAATGTAATTAAAAAAAAATAAATCAAAATACTATAAGCTCAATGTTCTTTTATAAATTGTATAATGTCATTACCATTCATTTTTTTTGGAATATTTGCGTGATCTCACTATTAGACAATAATAAACAAACAATAAAATACATGTTTTATATTTTTAATTTTGATATGTGTTTATAGATATATTTGTTGTGACGAGGAAGGACGACGAGATGTCAGAAATATTTGGCAGATTGATGGAAAGTCTGTTTGAAGTGCTAGCAGCCGTTACAGGGTTAGAAGCGTCTATAAAAGTCGCGCGCAATCAGCATGATTCTAATCACTCGAAAAACGAATGTTAATATAAGCTTTAATCACGTAGCTCTAATCGCGAATCGTTCTCCTATAGATTTAAGTCGACGTACATATTTAATTGTCGCATATATATAGATGTCTCGTATACGATACTTATATCGTAAGTAAATGTACATACCTATAGACCTATTCTTTTTGGCTGAACTTTTGCATCAGTTCATCTTTTCTTTTTCTCCTGGGCTGTATTCGTAAACGTTACCCACAGGGTAAAAAGGCCTCCGACCCCGTTCAGAAAATCAAAAATGGAATCTCTATAAGTATAAAATAATTCAAATAATAAGGGACAAAAAGCCGATAATATAACTAAACCTTTAATTTAAATATAATATGTAGCTACAATTCAACAAACGTTTCGACTCCGAACGGGTCATTTTCAATGTTACAATTTAATACAGATACATTTGTTATAAATAATTAGGATAGAAAGCTCCAACAAGAGCAGCTTGAAGCACGAAATCACGATCTGTATCTGGCTAGATGACTTTATTTACTCCTATACTCTCTTTAATTCCGAACTTCAGCAATCTAATGATGATTTCATTCCCCAGAGCATTTAATTCACGCAAAACTCTTGCCTAAATATACCGTCTTCACAATTCGCCTGTAAAACGTGTATAACCATTCCTTATCCTAAAAATTAGAATAATCAATATAAATAATATTAACAAAATTAGTAGATATATATAACATTCTTTTACTCTTTTAAATGTTACATATATTACATACCTTTACTACAGATGAGAAGAAAACAATATCATTTTTACCGTTACTTTCTATAATAATGATTTGATAATGACGTTGTAATTTTGTATGATGTTCATAATAACTAACTATAAAAGCTACGATTAGGAAAGTCACTTTTTTGGACAGTAACTTCGCACTATTATGCGTTATTTATTAAAAGTAATTCATTACTTTTAACGTACCGATTATTTTTAACTTTTACTCACTGCTTTAACAAGTATATATACTGAGTTACTTTTTTTCAATAAATAACGCGTAATAATGACAAGTTACTTTTCAAAAGTAATTTTCCAACCTTAGCTTTTAGTTAATTATCGTTACCGCCATAAAAAATTGCAATGCTGTTACCTGTGGATATCATTTACGAACGCAGTGGAACGCAGTCCTGATGTGACCCCCTCGCAGGGTTAAAGTTTACGAATGCGCCCTTGAAAAGAAAAGAAAGAAAGATGAATTAGTGCAAAAGTTCAGTCAAGAAGAACAAACCTTGTATCACGAAAAAAGTTCTTAGGTCCGTTTTTTTTTTTTAACGCGAAGAACGTAACGAATCGCTATCGATTGTAAATTTGGCGAAATAAATTATCGAAATCTTCAGGATTATGTTTTGAAATTCGCACACAATCCTTGTAGGATCCCTAATTAGGATGATTATGCGAAAAAAACGGTCAGTGTACCATACATTGCCTGCGGAAGATCAACAGGTTGAATCTTGTCAAGATGTGACGCATTTCGTGAAACGATTCGTTGATTCTGCGGTTATCTCCGCAATGAAGATTATTGCTGTGATGGTTTGCTAAAGTTCTTGTCAATTACAATATAATGCCCATAAAATTTCGTATACATTATTGAGACGGTTAGGTATCTTGTGTGTACATATAGCAATAGTCTGTATTGCTCATAAATAATTCTTACTTATATCGTTCGCTCTTAACTGTTAGGATCATGAATCCTCGTTTTACACAAAATGGCCCACGTGTGGAAATATGAATGTACGAAAAGGCCTGCGATGTGTGAAAGAAGAGATGTCCCGATGGAATCAATTATCGGTACAATTGAAAATCACTTGCTAAAAGGAGGAAAAATAACGCGGTTTATTTTCTACAGGCTTTGAGAAATTGGATGTTCCATGTACAGTTTATTAGTCTTAACAAAGAAGGCACCGCTGAATTTTACATGTATCATGTTCTATGGAGCATACCCACATCAGCATATCCGGAGCCATATGTGACTGTCAGCGTGTTCTTCTGCATCGTGGCGAGTCGCGTGCAGCCGCCGCACTTTCCAGTCGACGTTAGTTTGTTATGTATATTTTCAGCTCTTTTCCCTTCTCTCTCTCTCTCTCTCTCTCTCTCTCTCTCTCTCTCTCTCTCGCATGCATCTTGATTACACATCAAAGAAAGAGCAATCTGGGTAACATTGGAAGCATTTTTAACATGTTTTATCATTATTTGAATATGTGATAATATATGGTGGGTGTGTGTGTGTGTGTGTGTGTGTGTGTGTGTGTGTGTGTGTGTGTGTGTGTGTATACACACACACACACACACACACACACACACAATATGAATATTTAAACTATAAAAGTATACCAGACTATATATATTATTACATTTATACAAACTCATATCTGAAGCAATAAAAGATACTAGCCAGGGGTTTTATATAAGTACATAGATATAATAGCCACATATTAAATTAAAGATTTACTTTGAATGTGCTTTTGTATAACATAATATTTTAATAGGTCACATATGTATTCGAAGGACATCAGTTTGTGCACCCATTAGATGTAGTTTTTCAACCGAAGTGGCTCTATGACATTCTCGACATGAAAACCATACTGTTTAAAACATTCACGTTTTAAAATATCTCTTATTCCTCTTAATGTTTCTCTTTTAAAAAGCTGCATTTTCTTTTTTAAAATTGTATAATTCTATATAGAACACAATTTTTTCTATGAATTAATTATAACAAGAATTTGTACGTGTAAGTGGCAATGAAAACGTGATACATCTTAAACATTCTTACGTATTTAAACGCAAACACGATTCCTCTGTGTTACACTGTAAAACGGCTGCAGCTTTTCAAGGCAGATTTTTAAGCGCCTGCACCGTGCAGAATGTCGTAAAAGTAAGAGTGTCAGATTTCCGCGAATCGGGCACGCGCCGGCCGCAATCTGGTCCAGCACCGGACGCCGTTTCATTTCACTCAGTTAAACAATACGAGCAGGTGATACTCCTATTCCGTAAGAGAGAACGTACCGCGCGTTGCCATATTGCCATTCTCAATCGTATATTTATGACCTTTGCATTAAATCATTAGCACCAATCGTTACAGCATTGACAGCATTTCCTTGTCTACAGCTGTAGAAACGAAACAATAAATGTAAAGTCAGAAAATTTATTGAGTTGACTTATTTGAGTATAATTTCTTATAAAAATTTGAATACACACATTAAAATAAATTTTTTTATTTTATTTAATCGTGTGTCGCTTTAGTATTTTATATTAAAATATATAATTATAGAAATTCTCGAAATTTCATATAAAAATTCTTTGGAGAAAATATTACATACATACGTTTGAAAATCGATTATCTCTTCTTTTCTTTATACAAATTGATATTTCTATTATATTTATAGACAATATCTTTACATTGATGCTGTGATATGTTTACATCTTAAAACTATCATAGATATCAATACGTGCTTAGTGGTTTCATTCATTCTCTCCCACGAAGTTGATGTACATAGCAGACACTACAAAAAGAATCTATTTACAATCCCGCGGAGGACACCGAGGAGGTGTGAACCCTGCGTTGGTCTCTGGATCCGATCTTGACTTCTTTCATGCATTCTCAGCTTTGAATAATAAGACCGACGAACAGATGAAACAATTCGACAACCAGAGAAGATCCTCTCTTGTGCACATGCTGGCCGAATGACGCCGGGAGGTCTCTCGGTGTCTCAGCAGGAGCCACAAGAGAATGGAGATTGCAAGCCACGTGTTGAACATATCGAAAACCCGCGGCGAAGACATGATTGTACTTTTAACAATATCAACTTAATTGTTCTCCTTATGCATTCAATTATTTAATATTCTATAGTACATAATTCTTTCGATATTCTAAAAGCTTTTGGGATGTATATATATGTATCTATGTGTATACTATAATTAAATTTATTTCTTTTTTGTAATTTAGTAACTGTAATACGTACAAAAATCGATCATACTGTAGGTGTTGGATTCGACTAACAAGAAATGATAAATGAAATTCAACGAATATTTTATGACTGACACGATTCTTTTCCCTTCTGTCGAGGATCCGTTCTCCGAATGTGAAAACGACCGATTGCTCATCGTTCCACAAACAATCAATCCGTGTTATGTGGGTCAAAGCGATATCAGTTTACGACCGCCAACCGCAATGACAACAACCACCGCCTATTTATACGATATATGCTGGGCTTTTTGTCAGTCGCGGGGTGGTTCTTGTCCTAAACATCACATCCGCCGAAATGTATGCCTCCTACGCTGACCGAGAAAAGGAGGCTCGCGAGGGACCGCGAGAGACGGCGAAGACGAAGCGCGAGGGAAGCCACGACAGGAACCACCACCTCGCCTCTTTCAGTGGCTTCAAACATCCGCTGCACCAGCCGCTACCAGATTTTTCGTTTACCCCCTACCGCCTCATGTTCGCGCCACAAAGAAACGCTCGTGTGCACGCGTTCAATTCCCCTTTCCACGTCAGAAGCGAAAGGATGCGTTTCTACCGCGGTTCTCGACGTTTCTCAAAGCCTTTGCTCCGTTTCCGGTTCTTGTATGACGCTTGGGGGCTGCACAGTTGGAAATTTAAAATTAATATACGCATGAACACAATAATACAATTAAAGAATATATACAGATATTTATTATGTATATATTTATGTATAATATTATATATTATATATACACATACATTATTACTATTTTAATTTATAGGAGCAGGGAACATTAAAAATATTTAGCAATCACTGCGCAATTTCTTTCAACGGTATGCAACGAGAAGGCTCTCTTGATCGATCGTGACCACGTGTCTTGGAGGAAGAGGGATTGCGAGATACATCTGGACCAAGACGATCGGACACTTCTTCGAGACGAGAGAAGCGAGAAGGGGGATGACCGGTGGACGCTGCGCGACCAGCGCGACACGCATTGTATACCGGATCCACGTGCGCGCGAGAGAGGCAGCAGCTCGTCGAATCACCAGCTGCCGATTCGCCGAGTCGACTCCTGGAAGCACGGGAGTCGATCTAAAATTAGCGGCCCCAGCATGGCACCCCCGCCTAGCCCTTACATGGCCACGTCACGGGCATACACTCGGCTACTTCGAAAGAGAGACACAGAGAGCGAGAGAAAGAGAGGAGAGAAAAAGGGAAACAATAATAATCGCAGCTTGCCTGGCACGAGTTGATCACGCGCGAGATCTAGCAGCTGGAACTTGTCGACAAACAGCGCGATTGGACTTTACACCAGAAATGATTGGTGGAAGCTTATATTAGCGAAATTAAAAGGAAACTCTGCATCGTATTGCAAAATAGAGTCTTCATTCTTTTTCGCAGTTATCATTACTTAACTGTGAAATAAATGAAGAGTATTTTTTTTACAGAAATCTATATGGTTTTTTATACATGTTTTAGCTTGCATGCATTGCGTTTGGTATCATGACTAAATATAAATACGAACTAAAAATTCCTTCCTCAATTTTGGTTCAGACCATTATTTACCGAGTTATTAACGATTAAAATTGTGTATTAATTAATAAATCAATAAATAAGTGGACAAATAAATAAATAAGTAAAATAAAATATTTTTTTAATAATATAAAAATTAAATAAATAAATAAAATAAAATAAAATATAGAGTAATGGTCTGAGCCAAAATTGACAAAGGAACTTTTAGTTAAAAATTTCATCCTCTTTTATCCCCTGAAATACAAATTAATCGTTATGGAACACCCTATATATGATTTTGAGCTATTCTCATAATTATTCCTAATATAAAATTTGGTACGAGGTACTAGAATCTCTTTTTTATCACTGTACAAGACAGGAAGTGCCGCAAGGGTTAGCAATGAACCACATGGCTGCCGGATGAATGAATGGTGTAATGAACGAAGTCATGCGGTATTCAAGATAGCATTAATATGGTGGAAAAGTTTTCAATGAAGTGCCAATTAATATCAAGTGTCATGAGGTAACATATAATCTTTATTTTAATTACTTTCTTGATTGAAGAGTCGTCAAAAAATCATTAAAATGTCATTAATATGTCCATTTAAAATATTCGATCGTTTTTAAATAGTTTAAATATTCCTATTATTTTGCATTTTCATAAATTAATATCGAAAATTTACATAATTAATTACTCACTTATATGATATTGTCTCTTTTTATATTTAATTTATTTATGAACTATACATTGTTTTTTTATTTTCATTATTTATAATTTTGGTATAAATAAAATGAACCAAATGTGTGAACGTGTGCGTGTATGTGGAGATTGCACAAACGCAATGTGTTTAAATCCGAGCTTCAATCTGAACCATTCGGACAGAGCTGTGAGTCTCTTGCGCGCGGTTCAATTAATCGTTTGCGGATCTTCAATCTAATTCATTGTACCGGATACATGTCAGTAGATCGCTTAACATCGAAAGATCCTTTGCGGATCTCCTTGTAGGACGAACGAACCCCGTTCCGCAGTACATCTGCGTCGAGCGGATGCAGACTGCATTTTATGACCGCCCAATGCACAACCGATTCTTATTCGTGCACCCGCACTCACACCCTCCATCGTTCTCCACTGAGCGGTACAACGACTTCTATAATTAGATCCCCTTCCTTCTTTTGAGCTTAGACACCTTCGCGGCCGCGAGTGATCTCTTGACCTGTGAAAGAGAAAATTAAAAGAGGAAGATTATGGAAGAATATTGAAATATTTTAATCTTAAGATCTATACTTTAGTATACGTGATCTCTCAACTAAATGGATATACATATTTCAAATCAATTTCGTCCATGAATATCTTATTCTTCTAATTAAATTCAGAAATTAATGGTGTCACTTTTTATGAACATCTTTCACTGGAAATTGATCGCAGATTAATCAACAATCCACAGGTTTGGGCGCAATGTTACAATTTGAAAGAGCAACGCATTCCGCGTGTCATAGGTTTCACTTCAGCTATTTCGAACAGGTTGCGCTTGTGTCTATTTTTCGATCATTGGCATCGGTCGGATCTACGGATTCTTGCGGCGCCGACGACAGGTAGACGCGGATATAATATAAACGGCGATAGTTAAATTGAGTCGCAATATATAAGTGTGATTCAAGCACTCGCTATCATCGTCGTTGTAGATACTGTTTAATCGCTGGTCATCAGCCAAAAGCTCGCTTCTAAACTTATTAAAACCATCGCGATTCGAAGTGCCAGTCTGCTGACATATCTTCCAGTTAATTAGATTTTTTTAATAACGTTCTACAAGACAGGATCGCGTTCTATTTGCTATTTCTACTAAGGGTTAGTCACATCTGTGCAAGATGTCTTTAATTATGATGTCAGAAACATAAAATTAGGCAGATTCCGATTGCAATTTTACATAAGAGTTGCATAAATAGCTTACACAAATATGTATATAACTACATAAACATAGGTATATCCCTTTTTTTAATCAAAATTAATATATAGCATACATCAATGGGAATTATACTACAAATTCTTATTAAATTATCTTCAAAATAAATACTTTTTCTAATTTAAATTATTCTTATTATAAAAATGTGCTTTTGTATATTCCATTCTTGTATATTGTTTAATTAATTTTGCTTAATCACTTTATCTTTAAATAGATGAAATCTGATCT